TTACAGCAAAAAAAAAAAAATCATAAAGTTAAAAATAAAATTAAATAAATTAAATTAAATTCTGACACTGGTATTGACTGTGTCCTATGCTCTTGTCTGCAACCACCTGTGTGTGAGGGGATCTAATTTATTAGAAATGATGGTTAGCCTACTGAAAAAAAAGGTACTGCTGGGTGAAATTACAATTCACACTGGAAGAAACAGGCTGTCTTTCTATTTATTAACATAGCACAGTAGGTGAAAACATTAACTTTCATATCACGGCATAATAAATAACCACAGCATAAAACTACAACCTTAAACCAATATGCCTCACATTTCATTCTGTCGTATGAAGCAGTTTTTATAGAAAATAATTTAAAGGTCATCAAAATCCGAACAGCCAAACCAGTTCGATGGTGCAACTGTAAATGTCAGAGACCCAAGGTGAAAATATGGATCCCTGAAGAGCAAACCTCTAACCAGCCAAAATGCCGCTCTCAAACTATAGCCTGATTTAGCCATGAGCGTATAGTGACCCCACTAGTTTCTAAATATACATCTTTAATCCTGCTGACACTCAGACCATATTAACAACCCATGAGCTGATGTGACAGCACTCTCTTAGTTGAACACACTGTCACCCTGGGGGAGGCAGAGTCCCTAATTGGCAACGGCTTATTCTTCGTGTCAGAAGAGGAACAACGCTCATAAACACACACACACGCACCAATGACAGGAGTAGCTATGGCTGACACAGATAATTAATGAGGATACAAAAAGAGAGAGATGAGACCGCACAATAGCAGGCTGTTCAAACATGTAAAGCCCCTGCTTCGGTTTCTCCACGGGAGCTTAAATAAAACATCTCCTTTTGCTCAGAATCCATGATTCTGTCTTTTTGTCATAGATTCAGACAATTAGAAGCCGTATCCTTGAGCACGACAACGCTTGCATGGAATAAGATGTAACAAGACAGATATCACCACAAAAGCTCATATATTTTGAAGGCTGAATTGACTTAGAAATCTTTGAACGCCCACATGTGCTAGAAAAACAAAATGGCCACCATCCATGGCCTGTTTCTGATTTACCAAAAAGACAGGCTTTGTTTTCACTTCCTGAGTAGGGCGGAAAATGAATGACTTGACAAAACAGAAACAAATGAAAAAATGATTTTTAGGAAGGATAACAGAAGAAATAAGAACAGAACAAGCAAAAACATTACCATAGAAGCACATATATTTTAAAGACTGAATTAACTTAAAAACCATTAACATCCACATATGTTAGGAAAAAAACAAAATGGCGGCCATCAATGCCTTTTCTGATGTTCAAACAATAAGATTTATGAAGGAAGTCTCTTATGCTCATCAAGGCTACAATTATTTGATCAAGAGTACAGTAAAAACAGTAATATTATGAAATATCATTACAATTTAAAATAACTATTTTCTATTTGGATACATTTTTAAAATGTTTTTTCTCCCTGTGATAGCAAAGCTGAATTTGTTTAGCAGCCATTACTCCAGTCTTCACTATCACATGATCCTTCAGAAATCCTTCCAATATACTGAATTGGTGCTCAAAAAACATTTCTTCTTATTATATCTTATATGCTGAAAACAGTTGCTTCTTAAAGGGTTAGTTCACCCAAAAATGAAAATTAGGCCATAAATTACTCACCCTCAAGTCATCCTAGGACCTAGGTGTATATGACTTTCTTCTTTCAGACGAATCCAGTCAGAGTTATTTTAAAAATTGTCTTTGATCTTTCAAGCTGTTTAATGACACTCAGCGGGTGTTGCAGTGCATCAGTACAAAAGAAGTTAAATAAAAAGCGCCCATCCATAAAAAAAGAGTCTCACACGGCTCCGGGGGGTGAACAAAGGCCTCCTGTAGCGAATCGATGCGTGTTTGTAAGAAAAATAACCATATTTAAAATGTAATAATCACTTTAATCTAGCTTGCGCTCACTGTTGTAAATGGAAGCAGTTCCGGGGGAATGACATATGAGGTCGGCTTTGCGCATGCAGAAGTGACACACGCGGAAACGCAGCGGAGAGATCAAAACAAAACAACGGTC